ACATGCTTTTAATTTATTGCACATGCCTGACACCACTACAATTAAGACTATGTTTGTTGTCCAATCAAAGCAGTGCCACTCATGACATGATTTTATGTGGCAACACATTAACAGCATCTGGCTCAGTAGAGCAATGAATGCAAGAATAAATGAATATAATATAAAAACATATCTTGTATGTTATGAGTCATTAATGCTTACCTTTCTGGCATGGTCTGTACTGCCTGCATGTAGGAAGAATGCTTCACTAGTGCCTTTAAAGCAGTGTGGACTAACTGTGGAGAAAAACAGAGCTCAAGTTAGATGTTATTAAGTGTTATAAAAGTGAAATACTCAAAATCACAAAGTGAGTGCTCTGACCCTTTTCTTTGGTATAGGCAGGGGGACTTGGCTGAGGTGTAGGTGCCTGAGATTTGGCATTTATCTCATTCGATGAGGAAAGGCCTTTCCACTCCCCTCGTCGAACCAGCTCATCCAGATCTAATCACAAAAATGACAGTTTTCCCTCAATATTTACTGATTAGCATGTCTGCAATCATTTCCTGTAATGTCTGTCATTTCCACATCTATTTCTATTATTACACTCTACCAGAGTAGCTCTGCATGATTCACAGTTCAAAATAATCCTTAACTATGTTATACTGTGCTTCTGTGCAGCCCCTCAGTTCATCTATAGTATGAAACAACTGTTTAATTTCATCTCTCTTTAGGCTAACTTTCCTCTGATTAACTGCACCTCAGAAACTGATGGTTTGAACAACACATGTGCCCATAACTAGAGTTGTGCTCCTGACATAACCGCATAAGGGAAATCCATTATCTAAGACAAGTTACACCCCCTCCCCCAAAAAACAACTCTTTGAAACTCCTAAAGTCTGAGCTTTTTACTCGCAGAGAATACTTACTGAGCTCATTTTTTGAAACTTTGATTATGTTTAATATATGATAGAAAATTACTGAGCTCATTATTTGAAACTTTTATGTTTAATGAGTATATGACAGAAAATTAAGAAAAACAAGAGATCAATTCTTAGAATTAAAAATGTAAATAATCAGTGCACAATAAATATATTAAACTGCAAAACAATATGGCAATGTGAGTTGGGAGGTTTAAGAAGGGTTGGTAGATATATGTTTAACCTTGTTTAAATTCACGCAGCCTGTGCTTTGGTATGTTTTTGTAGCCAAGGAGGGCTAACTGTTCTTGAATTTCCTCCTCTGAGAAATCCAG